CATATAGTGAAAGTGTCTTATTTCTTTGAAAATTTTTCTTCTCTGCTCCTTGGTATTAAATAAACTAACTAAGTACATAGTTATGATGAGCAATAGTGCCTCTTCCAAAATTGTGAATTTCATGGCCTCAGGGTCAGGGGTTCTGGTAATTGGGCGGGGCTCTATTGATTTGTAGTGAAAATAAATTAATTCATTGAAAATCTTCTATGCTCCTAAGTATTAAATAAACTAACTAAGTACATAGTTATGATGTGCAAGAGTGCCTCTTCCAAAATTGTGAATTTTACGGCCCCTGGGTCAGGGGTTCTGGTGTTAGGACGGGGCTCTATTGATTATATAGTGAAAATGCATTAATTCTTTGAAAAGTTTCTTCTCTGCTCCTGGGTATTAAATAAACTATTTAAGAACATACTTATGATGAACATGGCTGCCTTTTTAGAAATATTAATTTCATGGCCGCTGGGTCAGGGGTTAAGATGTTAAGGCAGGGGCTCTATTGATTATATAGTAAAATTGCATTAATTCTTTGAAAATCTTCTCTGCTCTTGGGTTTTAAATAAACTAACTTAGTGCATAGTTATGACGAGCATGGTTGCCTCTTCCAAAATTGTGAATTTCATGGCCCCAGGGTCAGGGGTTCTGGTGTTAGGCAGGGGCTCTATTGATTATATAGTGAAAATGCATTAATTCTTTGAAAATCTTCTTCTCTGCTCCAGGGTATTAAATAAAGTAACTAAGTACATCGGAGTGCTGAACAATTTAAATCGTTTAAATGTCATTCTATTTAACCTCCAACACACTCCAAAGACATTGTATGACGTTTTTCCTCCTTACGAACCACTGGGCTAGAAAAGCTGAAACTTATGTGGAAGCATCTTGGGGTAGTGTAGATTCTAAATTGTTCAAATCATGGCCCCCGAGGGTAGGGCGGGGCCACAATATGGAATCAAAGTTTTTGCATTGAAATGTGTAAAACAAATATATAAAAATCTTCTTCACAAGAACCACTAGGCCAGAAAAGCTGAAACATATGTGGAAGCATTCTTGGGTAGTGTAAATTCTAAATTGTTCAAATCATGACCCCTAGAGGGGGGGGGGGGGGAGTAGGACTGGGTCATAATAGAGAATCCAATTTTCACATTGAAATATATAGGAAGTATCTTTTTCCCCCATATTTTATTCATTGAAACAATATAACAAGAACGTGGGGCAATGACATCCGCAGATGTTCCCCTATGATAATCCTCACTAGGGGTGCCAGGGGCTCCCTAGATTGGATAGCAATATATATTTAATTGAAAAATAATATAACAATATTTGAATCAGTAATGAAACAGATAGATATAATTATACATGTATGTTGCAAGGGGAATACACACAAAGTACTGTCCAACACACCCCTTAGCAACATGTATAGAGGGCCAGGTCACCCTCTTATACTTCATACAAAAGTTATATCATAATATACATAAATATAAATACATATTCATATATTAATAATGAAAAAAAAAACCTGGAACAATAATTGCAAGGTTTACAAAGTTTAATGCCAAAGATTGCATAATGTGAAAATTGAATGTGATGCTTCGATATCGTTTGGTCACTACATAGAATTTCATGAGAGCATATTTTTAATAAATAAATAATAAAATTAATGAAAAAAAAAATAAATAACAGAAAATTAGAGGAATATAGATTTTTAAAAAAATGCATTCTTTTAGTTGTTCATTTATAGAATTCTAGACTATAGAATTGTAAACTAACTACATGCATACAATAATTCAGCATTTGCTTTAAGAGACAGTTTCTAAAAACGTAATTGTTCGTTTAAAAAGTTTTTTTGTAAATTATCTATTTTATGTTTTCCCTTTAGTTGGCCATTTGGGGGGTCCTGTAATAGTAAGGATAAATTGGATTTGATTTCATTTTTAAAGGCAGCATTTATACTTAAATAATTTACTTTCGCATTTTCATATTTAACTTTGCTTCTCGTTTTCCATATTACGCACTTATAAATGTATATCAAGGTGTTGACAAAAATTCTTGAGCTTTGAGGTTCTTTTAAGTACCCTAAAAGTTATTGTTTGTGGATCCAGTTCCAAATTATAATTTAGGTCTAACACGTTAAGAATTGTGTCTTCCACTAATTTAATTGTTGGTTTACAATGAAAAAATAGATGTTGTTGGTTTTCCCTTTGGCTTTTACATAAATTGCATATACCATTGAATAATCCAATTTTACATAATTTATCTTCAGTATACAAGATATTATGGACCCCTTTCCATTGAAATTCTTGAATTGTATGTTTTATTTTACTCTTGATATGCTGTCCAAAACTAAATTCCACTGTATGTTAATTTGAAATATTTTTCCCCATTTTTCTTCACTTTTTGGTACTGTTTTCTTATTTAGGATTTTTTCTATGCATTTTAATCTAACATCATCATTATTTACTACTTTATTTGTAGTTCTTTTAATGAGAAAGTTATTATCCAATTTATAAGGGAGTTTTGATTCAATCTTATAGACCAAGCTCTGTCCTCTCAGTATTTGATAATATGATTTGGGAATGGCAGCTTTTAATTTACTATATTCAAATATCCAGCACCTTTTATCTACCAATTTGTTAAATATAATGCTATTGTATTTAAAACAATTACCTTCATCATTCCAAATATCTTTGATTTTTGATAAGCCACTTCTATTAAACGATGCCGCATATAGTGATTTCCCTTGAAATTGTATTAATTTATTTCCAAACAGTTGAAGGTTGAGTATTTCATCTCGATTTACAGGCTCAAATTTTGATTGGAATTCACTAAATGCAATAAGTGCTTTTTTATTAAAAAAAAAAAAAAATAGACATATTATTTAAAGATAATTGAGTCAAGTCAGAACAAGAGCATAGGAAATATTCCTGTCTTGGATGTATATCTTTACTTTTTAAGCAGTGCTTTCCAATAGCATTCCAATTTTCGGATTTTGAATGCATTATTTTATATATCGTTTTTATTTATTTACTTTTAATGAAATTAAAGGTATTTATCATGTTCATTCCTCCTCCATTCTTACTTAAACAGCACACATTTCTGTCTATTTTATTTAATTTATTATCCCAAATAAAAGACCAAATAATATCATTTATTTTTTTGGCATAAGTATCGGGAATTCCTCTCATTTCAATTTCAAAGCCAATGATTGGAATCATTAAATTCTTTATGATCAAAGTTTTCCCTTTAATTGTAAGGTTTCTAGTTTTCCAAACATGCAAACTGTTCATAATTTTTTTTCTATTTTTTCCATCCATATTGCTTCAATATTAATTCCATATCCATGATATACCCCCAAAGTTTTTATATTACTTTTTATCCACTGAATTTTTTTTAAAAGTTTGGTATTTTACCCTTGATTTTCCAATAAACAGACCCTTTGTTTTTGAGAAATTGATTTTTGCCCCTGAAGCTTTTTCATATATTTTTAAAACATTGAAAGAATTTATTATAAATTCTTCATTTTTATTAAACAACTGTGTGTCGTCTGCAAACATATTTATTTTATATTCTATATTTTGATTACCGTCTTCCTTGGAAGACAGTATACAGAGTTGAAGTATTTTACAGTCTTCGGACTATGCACTTCCTCTCTTTTGTGATTGGTAGAAATTGCATGATGAGAAAATTTTCAATTATTTCATTGGTTGAAATGCTGTTCAAGGCAAGGGAGATAATTTTCTGATGATTTAATTTTCGTACGACTGAACAATTTTTCAAGATTTTCAATCGTAAAAAAATATAACAAAACGAACAGTGGAAATTGGCTGTAATTAATTCGAAATAACAGCTAGTTTTTTTTTTATAACAATTACAAAAAAACCGTTTCTATATTTTTATTGTTAACAGAATTGATCTCTATTGCATACAAGCCTTACAGCTTGTATGTATTCTTTTTCCCTTGTTTGCACTGTCTTTCTAATTTAGGCAGCACTCGGCACACCTCGGCCGATTTGCACCTCATCTACGTATCACAAAGGTGACGGAATCAGTCGAGGTTTGCCGAATGATCTCGGCAGCAGAGTCGAAGTTTATTCAGACAGCTGAGCATCTGTTAACCTTTCACTTGGTAGGGCTTATGTCAGAAAAAAACAATGAAGAATATACAAAACCAAGAAATTTTCAAGAATTATGCAGCCTGATAGGTTTAGATCAGTTTACTTTTTAAGGGGGACCGATCCTCTGATAAGAGAGATAACTTTTCAAGGAAAATATCCTAGTATTACTCATAGTTTACTTAATCAGAGTTTGATTATCGAGACCTTTGAGCAGTCAAATCGATCAAACTTAATTAATATGGAAACATTACCTTATATTTCCTTTGACTGTACTTTTCAAATTGTTTTATTATGTTTGACCAAAAAAAAAAAAAAAAAAAAAAAAAAAAAAAAAAAAAAAAAAACCTTAAAACTTGAATTAGTTCTATCTTTTTAACGATCATTTTAAAAATGGTTTAATATATCAAGCACCAAATGTAGAATTATTATTAGTATTACATTTTTTTTCCAAAAAATATTTATAAGATAACTCTTGCTAACAGATGTATTGTTTTCTTACAACCACATATAACATTGTGATATTCTGACTTAGGAAGCAGCGCTTCATTATGATTTCTAACATGAATTTAGTAGGTATGACATTAAATATTATTTTCATATACACCGCATATTTCTGATTTTATGTTGTGATAATAAATTATTACTCTTCCTAATCTCTGTGTTAAAATTTCTTCATATTATGATCGGACATAAAAATCATTTCTGAAAAAATGAGCAGCGTTTCATACCTCATACTATTTTTCATTTGATTTTGATGCTATAGTTCTTGATGAAAATCAATGTTGGGAAGTTTAAAATTTTTTTGTGAAATTTGGAGCAGAGGGTCATTAGTCCTTAAGGTTGTTGCTAAAGACGGTAAGCTTTTTGGAAAAGCTCTACTTGTCTTCACTAGGAATTAAGATGCCCTTTATCTGAGGATTCTGTCTAATTGCACAAGCCATAGGCTCTATTTGAAGAACATAAAGCAAAGGGGCAATAGGACATCCTTGTCTTGCTGATCTTGAAATTGTAAAGTATTTTGATACAAATCATTTGTTTTAATGCAAGTTTTTGACTTTATAAGAAGCATTTTTATCCAATTGCAATATTTGCTACCAAAGTTAAATCTCTTTAATGTTGCTTCTATTCAGCCCCATTCTATTCTGTCAAAAGCGTTCTGTTGATCTAGAAATATAATTGCCCCTTCTAAATCTTCATTATCTGCATAATCAATGATATCTTGAATCAGCCTATTAGCATCACTGATATTTCTACCCTTTACAAACCCTTTTTGATCTGGATGAATTAATTTTGGCAGTGCTGCTTTTAATCTTTTCGGGGAGAATTTTAGCAATAATTTTATAATCATTGTTGAGCATTGTTAATGGTCTCCAATTTTTTATATCTTCTCTTTCATTCCCTTTATGTATTAATGAAATGACTCCTTTTGTTTATGATTCACAGAGTGTAGCCTTATGAAAAATGTGTTTTATAATTTTTGAAAATTCAGTTTTAATTATATCCCGGTATATCTGATAAAAAGTTGATAAAATCCCATCTTCTCCAGGAGATTTATTTGGTTTTATGACATAACTGCTTTATATATTTCGTTATCATTTATATCACTATCGAGCATGTTTACAACATCCTCATCTAATCTACATTGTACTTCCGCTAATAGTAATTTTCCACTTTCGCTATCCCAATCCTCTGTATTTAATAATTTGTAATAAAAAATTATTTGCTCTTCAATAATTGAATCAATGTCAGTTTTATAAGTACCTTTTTCTGTTTTAATTCCACTTCACAATTTTTTCTCTCCATTACTCTTTTCTAATTGAAAGAAATGTTTTGAAGGAGCTTCTCCTTTAAACCACCTACATTTTGATCGTATTATTGCCGCTTCTGTCTTATCTATATATATTTCTCTAATTTTTTGTTCAAGATCGTTTTGATACTTTTTATCAGTTTTAAGATTGTTTTTAATCTCTTCTAATTCTTTTTCTTATTTCTCAAGTTTTTGTTTATTAGTCCTTTAGCGGTGAGACCGGAGGGGACTATAGGTTTCCTCTTAGTCTGTCCGTCTGTCTGTCCGTCTGTCCCTCTGTTTGTCTGTCAGTCTGTCCCACTTGGTTTTCCGCACTTTTTTCCTAAACGTTTGCAGATATTGAGCTGATTTTTGGTATGTGAGTATGTGAGTGTATCTTGATGAGTTACAGATCAAGTTTGCATTTCGTTTTGCTTCATAGATTTTTGACGGAATTATGGCCTTTTCAATTTTAAGGGTTTTCCGCAAATTTCTTCTAAATGCTTTCAGATATTGAGCTGATGTTTGGTATGTGACTTTACCTTGATTAGTTATAGATCAAGTTTGCATTTCGTTGTTTTTTGACGGAATTATGACGTTTTCAATTCTTAACGGGTACCAGATTACACTTGCCGGTAGGGGACTAGTATTGCTAATGCAATACTCTCAGAATGCTTGTTGACATTTAATTTTTTGACATCTCAATACACAATGTTTTTATCTTATATTTAGTTAAGTCCCACCAATATAGAATATCCTGACAAATGTCTAAACTGTTTTTGTAATTTTCCCAGAATGCAACAAATGTTTTTTTTTTTTTTTTCGGAAATCTTCGTTTGTTAATGTTTTATGATTCATTGTCCATAATCCTGGACCTCTTTGGATATTATCCACTTGTAGTTTTAGTGTTATCAAATCATGATCGCTAAATGGAAAGTGTATTATGGCACAGTTATTTAATTTGTGCAATATATTTTCACTTGTTAGGAAAAAATCTATTCTTGATTTTGAATTGCCCCTGTGAAATGTATAACATATTTTTTCAAGATTTCTTTCTAGCCAAATATCTTGCAATTCATATCGTTTTATTAATTCATTAAGTTCTGATGCAGCAATATCCTTGCGTAGGGGCACGGGCTGTCTATCAAGGTGTTTGTTTTGTGTGCAATTAAAGTCACCGCATATAATTTTATGATTGGCTGTTTCATCAAATTTTAATGAATCAAAGTATTGTTTTCTATCCACTTCATTATTCGGTGTGTAAATACACTTAAGGTCCACTGTTTTCATTATTTTTATGCTAACAGTTATTTCCCTTCCTTCGCTATCATATGTAATATTTTTAATATTAAATTCGTGTTTTGGGGTAAAGAATAACATTCCCACATCCCGTGATTCGCTGGAACACTTATTCCATATTGAATTAGACCCTTTAAAAGTTTTCCACTCATTTTCCCACGTTTGTGTATCTTTATCTGTCCCATGTGTTTCTTGTATACAAATTATATCGTATTTGCGTTTTCTCAACCATGAAAATATACGCATTCTTATCTTCTTATCTCGTAACCCGTTAACATTAATAGAGGCGATTTTTAGAGTCATTTTAAGTGATAGTGCAATATATATATATATATATATATATATATATATATATATATATATATATATATATATATATATATATATATATATATATATATATATATATATATATATATATATATATATATATATATATATATATATGTATGTATGTATGTATATCATGATAAAAGAAAAAGAAATATGAACAATATATATATACAGGTAATAATTATGTACATGTATGCTTTATATTAGTGTCCGATCTATGTAAAAATAGTATATTGATCAGCACAGTTATAATATACATTTTTTGGATTTTACCCTGCTTTTCGGTCGAAGCTGGGGTGTTTGAACTTAACTTCCGTTTTGAAATGCTTGGTGTTCGAAGAGGATCGTCCGCTGAACAGTTATATTTACAAAAAATATCGGCAATTTTCTCGACTCCCTCGCTTCTAATATGCACACCGCTGGGGTCATTGCTGTCATAAAGTGCTCTAGTAGCAAGCCCTTGATTATTGATGAATGAACTGCATACATCAATCACGGATAATAACTTGTTTTTTTTCACACAGTTTTTCAAGGAATTTATTTACATGCCAAGCGTTGTCGTTCATTTTTTTTTAATCCCGGCGCTTTTTCCTTTTCTAGGTATGATAGTACATACAGCAATATGAGCCTCGGGAAAAGTTTCTTGAATCTTGTTAAGGCCCATCATTACATTGCCCGTTAAATCAACGATTTCATCCTGACATTTGGTAACATCATTTGTTCCCAAATGGACGATTACTTTTTCAGGCGTAGTTTCATCTAATTTTTTCCTTGCGTATTCTAGCAATTGCGACACGTTTTCGTAGGATGATCCAGAAACCGAAGCGTTCAAGATGTTTGGCGGAAGCTTTTGAATGCGCTTGCAGTTCGACGCCCCTAGAATAACGGTATCAATCTGTTTGTCATGCTTGTCCGCTTCCGTATTGTATGTTTCGCTTCGATGGTCATCGTCGTATAAAGCCTTCTGCCTTCATTAATATCTGCAGCATATTTACCATACTTTTGTAGCATTTTTTCAGCAAGTACCTCGTAGTTTTTCTTGCAAGACCCTCTAGGAACTATCTTCAAAAATCTTCTCCAGAACCACTGGGCCAGAAAAGCTGAAATTTATGTGGAAGCATCCTGGGGTAGTGTAGATTCTAAATTGTTCGAATTATGACCCCTGGGTATCATTATTTTCTGCAAATAAGTATCTCCAATATTTATTATTATTTGTAACTTAACTGTTGATTATTTATTAAATTAATTTAAAAATAAATGTTGTTGGAAGTATATTCATTTAGTACGATGCTGCAAGATTAAATTTAGATACAGCAACACATATGTAAGGATACGGCGCTGCAACATTTTGATATTATGTCAAAGAGCACAAATCATTCATAGAGAGATGATAATCCTTTATTAAACAACTGCTGAATAATTACCAAAATATTCATTTCTATAGGGAACACGTTTTCTTCACAGTTACAATAGAAATATATGTACATGTTTCAACTATATCTGAGATTTATGGAGAATCATATAGAGTATCATTGTCTTACGATAATGTGGGAATGTTTATTTATTTATTTATTTCTTCTGGAAGTGTTCAGAAGAATTTTTTTCACATGGAATGCCAATGTCTGCACTCCAAAAGTAATTTATTTAGGAGATGTATTGTTGTTTCTGCACCTAACAATAGAATAGATACAATGCATGGAAAAGATCAGAGACATTCATTTTGCTTTTACCGTTCGTTCATCGTTCACTTTGCACTCGCGTTTGCGCTCCGTTCGCTCACCGTTCACCGTTGACTAACCGTTCACCAATTTGCGTTCAGTGTTCAGACATCGTTCATTCACCGTTCGCTCTGCGTTTGTTCAACTTTTGTTGATCGTTCGCTCTGCGTTCACTCACCGTTCAAGTGGGAAAGTAGAACATTCAGGGACTGTATGGGGACTCGATATATCCCGGTGATCTTGAGATAAAAGACACCACAAAGTCTACCATATATTTCATATTTGGATGTTTTACTGACTAATGAAGATAAAGGCAAACTAACAACCAAACTACGAGATAACTTCAGCTTTTCCATCGTCAACTCTCCTTATTTATTTAGTAATATCCCACTATCACTGCATATGGTGTTTACATCTCCTAACTTTTTCGATACTCACGAACTTGCTCCTAGTATGACCACATTTTAAACCGAGACAAGCTACTGACAGATAAGTTGATCTTACAGAGATCTCAACAACATCCGTACAAATACGGTCGTTAGAATGACCTGTCATTGGGCCGTATGTTGGCTGTAGTATTACATGCCAATTTTTAGGCCTTTGATTATATTACTAAATTTGACTACGGAATGTTCCTTCTACCTGATCTATACATAGGGTTCACGGCGGGTTTGACAAGTCAACAGGGGACGCTTACTCCTCCTAGGCACCTGATCCCACCTCTGAAATATCATGGTGTGTTTTATTCAAATGACTGTATTTGCTGAGTAGCTCACATTGTATCGACCATAGAACTTGCGAAATGATGACTTAAAATGAGACTGCTGATATCCTTGTTTCATCAACTTGTTTGTCAATAACTTGCCTCGTTTTATAATTTGTTTGTTTGGGACATGCTCTTGTGTATCGAATAAACTGAGAGAAAAACCCCATATGCAGATGATAAGGATATATTGTTACATAAGTGAGGTAAGTTGACGAGAGGAAAGTTGAAGTCATCACGTTAACCATAATTTGTTTGGCGTTAGGTTACCAATAATGTCTTTTTCTTGTGAATATCCAAATATGAAACAGAACTGTCAGACTCTGGCGTATCTTTAATTTCATGTTCATCAAGTCGCATAGGAATGGAAACAACTATTGTTAATTGATAATACGTCGTCGATATATTAAAATCTCGCGCTGAAGGCCAAAGCAAGTGTCTTCTGTTTCATTTGAATACATAAATAGGACTGCTAAACACGGGGTGCCATTGGTGCCCATTGATTTCCGACAGATTGTTGGAAGAAACTCAAGCATCTTTTTAATAGCAACTTCAGAGTACTTGTGTGTACAATCAAAATGTTTTTAACAAAATAATTTTGCAAATGATCAATGGCACGGTGAGTATATTTACGACAATTATATTTACGACTTCCATTTTATTGAAAAAGGTAGCCCTCTATGATGTCAAAAATCTTTGACTTTAATGGGGTATCTTTAATTTCATGTTCATCAAGTCGCATAGGAATGGAAACAACTATTGTTAATTGATAATACGTCGTCGATATATTAAAATCTCGCGCTGAAGGCCAAAGCAAGTGTCTTCTGTTTCATATGAATACATAAATAGGACTGCTAAACACGGGGTGCCATTGGTGCCCATTGATTTCCGACAGATTGTTGGAAGAAACTCAAGCATCTTTTTAATAGCAACTTCAGAGTACTTGTGTGTACAATCAAAATGTTTTTAACAAAATAATTTTGCAAATGATCAATGGCACGGTGAGTATATTTACGACAAATATATTTACGACTTCCATTTTATTGAAAAAGGCAGCTCTCTATGATGTCAAAAATCTTTGACTTTAATTTATCGTGGGGAATGGTCGATATAAAATGTTGAAAAGTCTTATGTTTTGATGTTATTGATTTTGGTAAAATTCTGTGATTTCACTTTTTCTGAAAGTTCCCCGAGTTTTTAAGTATACATATCTGATTTACACCACTTCTGGTATATACCGACGTACAGTATTCATGAAGTTTCTTCTTCACTGCTGTTAATAATTTAGTGACGAATAAAGAAAGAGTCTCGGTAGAACATTTACTAGAACCTGCTATGTATCTTAGTTTGTAAAGATTTTTATGAGGTTTAGGAATCCTGTATAGCTATGGTAATTCAAATTGAATTTGATTAATGGGAATATTGAAAATATGTCAAACTGACGTATGATTTTTCTTAGAAAGGGAGCTTTGGGTAAAAGTTGAACCAACTTGAAGAATTAAATCCCAGTTACTCTAAATTACAATTAAAATAATGAGCCTTACTAATAAAGACGATGTTGTTACCTGTTTTGTCAGAAGGGACCAGTACATACTGATTGTTTAATCTAATTCTTTTTACTTCTGAATTATTGAAGACAGAAAGATAGATGCTTTTCTTATTGCCTTTAGTCGCTTAATGTGAGATTTCAACATCCGTCTAATACCTTTATCCATACTGACAAAGTGTCAAGGTCTTATTTTTCATGTTTGGTCCATCGTCCAGCATAATCTCCCACATAATTCAAAATATTTATAAAATTATGACGCTAATTGAAAGATCGGGGTTCGTTAAATAATTGAAGGTCCTCATTATTAACAATATTTACGTCACCAGTTATGACACGTTCAGCAATAATCTCTACGCCTCAAGTAAAATTCAATAAGCTTAAATATTTTCCCCAGAATAATTGATAATTTTAATTTATGATCTAATGCCTTTTCTATGCAATGAGCTGGCAAACAATAAATTGAATTCTCTCTCTCTCTCTCTGTGTGTGTGTGTGTGTGTGTGTGTGTGTGTGTGTATGGGTGTGTGAGGGTGTGTTTGTGTGTGTATGTGTGTGTGTTAGCTTTCTATTTTTCTTTGTTTTGTTTTTCAGGGCTGTGCTGATGTGTGGTCCAATG